AAACACCACTTTCCCAGATGGTTCCAGCAATCTTCCCTTATCCCCTTTCCTCTCCCCAAATCTCTGTGCAGAGGCACAGAGGAGGATAGTCTAGAAATAGCTCTGTTCAAAGGTTTGTTGGGCCAGTTCTCTCTCACTTCCTCCTAGAACTGCTGCCGGAGGAGAGCCTCCGGAACACATACCTCACCCTGCATCCTGCCCTACTGTCACTTTGGCATTTGCTTTTTTGAATTAATCCCTGGCAGCCTATTAATCCTCCAAGAAAAGAGAGAATGAAGGCAAAGGTGGGCTCTGAGACAAGGGACCGGCTGAAATAGGGCCCCCAAGCCCTTGTCTTTAGGTCACTTGATGTCTCCACTGACTCACTGCTCTCATCTATGAATTGGTCACAATCAGTCACTGACTTGGCAGTCAAAAGAAGCAGTAGGTCTAAGTAGTAGGTCCACAGGCCTCTTTGATCTCAGTTCAGATCCTCTTCCTATCTCCCCAGGCTCAGTCCCCAGTTCTGTAGCAAAGGACTTCCTGGCTCCACACCAGTCCCAGTCATCAAATGCCCCTTCCTACGCCTTCCCTGTATTTGGCTCAGATGATGAGAAAGGAAGCTGATCATTTTGACAAAGTTCATTGGTCCCATGGGGCTATGGAATTGGGGTGGGTTCACCCTGTCTCCCGGGGCCCAGGCCCTTTTGGCACAAGCATGTGGAATATCCAGAAGCTCAGGACACTTTATCTTGTTCCTCCATGCGGTGCAGAACCAGACACTGACCTTCAGGGAGGCGGTGCAGTATCCAAGGGCATATGGTGATAGTGGTGATATTGGGGAGACAGAGCCAAGGAGAATAGGTGCAGGGGAGAGAGAGTCAGTGCTGTAATAAGTCCTGCCAGATCGGATAGCATCTGCTCTCACGCTTCATGTACCCACACATGCTGTCCCTACGGGAAGAGAGCTCCTTGCCCTCCAAATATGGTGCACTTCTCAGGGGTCAGCTCCACACCTGCAGCGGGGGAGCTCTGGTTGAGCGGCAAGGTCCTGGGCTCAGCCTGAGTGTGAAGAATTGAGTGTGTGGACACTGGAGGGGGTGTGGGAGGAGGATGGTCCCTCTCCAGGCCTCGGAGGGGTGGTTCATGTGGGATGGATTCGGAACCACTGCAGAAAGGGAGATTCCGGGGAGATGCTGGGGAAGAACTTCCAAACTTCCAGCAGGGCAGAGAGTCCAATCACCCCAAGAAGAGTCTGTGAAAGGAAGGGAAGTTACAGCTCTCCCCTCCACCTGCATGGAGGAGGCAGGACCAAGTGACCTGTTAGGGGAGAGGCTGGTTCTCTCCCTCCCCTCCCTGCAGCCCCCCTTGGGGTGATTCAGTGCCTGTTTGTTGAACTGGACTCAGAGGCCTCTGCCCTGACATTGTCCACAGTAACAGCAAGTAATAGAAAGCACTTTCATGTCGGATTCTCAGGGTAGGAATCTTCCAAACCCATTTTGGAGGTAAGGATATTAAGGCTCTAACAAGGTAAAGAATGTAACATGTTTGAGGGCAGGTGGCAAGAGGAAGGTAGAACCTAGAGGTTCTTTCCATGACAGTCCGCCAGCCCCAAAGTCCTGTACCTTGACCACTCTGTCCTCCCACCCGACCCCTCAGGCCTCACCTCCCAGAGTGAGCTCCCGCCCTCCCCACAGTCTCAGTCTGAGTCTCTCCCGGGTCTCTCCCAGTGGACAAACCAAGGTGCTGCATCCCAGAGAGGTCTGCCAAGCTGAGAAACGCCAGGGGCTGGTGGATGAGGACATGGGCAAGGAACCGGGCTGCTGGGCTCTTCCCTGACCACCCACATATTAATAAAGTGCATTGCTCCCCACCATCATCTTCTTTCTCCCAGCTCTGCTTTATTTTTCTTCATAGCATTTATATCAGCAATCTATTAAGCATCTATTTTGTTATTGTCTCTTTTCCCCAAGAGACTGTCATCTCCATGAAGCAGGGACTTTTGTTTTGTTTATGGCTGTACCCCCAGTGCCTCTAAATATTTATACGGAAAATGAATGCCTGCTAGGCCTGCCACTCACTAGTTATGTGACCCTGGGCAAGTTACCCATCTCTCTCTCTCTCCGTCTTTGTTTTGTTTGTTTGTTTTTTTTTTTGACACAGCGTCTTGCTCTGTTACCCAGGCTGGAGTGCAGTGGCACGATCTCAGCTCACTGCAACCTCTGTCTCCCGGGTTCAAGCAATTCTCCTGCCTCAGCATCCTGAGTAGCTGGGATTACAGGCGCCTGCCAACATGCGCAGCTAATTTTTGTATTTTTAGTAGAGACGGGGTTTCACCATGTTGGCCAGGCTAGTCTCGAACTCCTGACCTCAGGTGATCTGCTCGCCTTGGCCTCCCAAAGTGCTGTTATTATAGGTGTGAGCCACCGCACCCAGCCTCATCCATCTCTTGATTGACATTTATCAAGCCCTTGCCATGTGCTGGGCACTATTTATTCTATGAACTTTACATGTAATAGCTTATTTAAGCCCCACACAAACCTATGAGGTAGTTACTATTATCACCTTCCATCACCAACATATGAGTAAAATGAAGCCCTGAGAGCAGAGGTGGCTGCTTAAGGGAGGTGGCTGGGGGCAGAGCTGGGATATCACAGGCGGGAATAAGTGCTTGACCTAGAGCTGAATTAATTGCTGGTGCACTCTGGACCCCACTTCTGCTGAGTGACTGTCTCTTGTTCTCTGCACCCTACTCCCATATTTCCTGGCCTATAAAACAGGGCTATTCACAGCTCCACCTTTCCTTCCCTCCTTTATTGGTCACTCTTCTCCCCAACAGGGCTCAGTCTCCCAGGAGAGGATGGAACAGGCAAGACTTGGGTGCTGGGGGCCGAGGGCGAGGTCAGAGGTGTCACTGGTGCTCTGGCTGCCTGCACAGGCAGGAAGGCTTCTTTGCCAGCCTGGGAGTCAGTCTCCTTCCTCTTTTCTCTCTCACGCTCTTCTAGGTTTTGGGTTCTCTTCCTATGAAACAGGGAGGAGTTTCTCAAGCTCCGGTGTGAAGGAAAGAATAGAGAAGTTACGTGAAAGGTGTCTGTTTCCGGTAATATGGTGGTCTGGGCCCACTCCAGCTAAAAACAACAAAAAACACTGCATAGAATTAAATCTTTTCAAAGCATTGAAGAGCCCACAAGGCAGTAAGAAATGAGTAGGCCAAAATCTAAGTCAAAGCAGAATCTGTACTGAGGTCCCCGGTGCCCTGAGGTCATTGGCCAAGCCAAGCCGAACCTGAGCTTTGATCTTGATGGTTTGGGGAGTGAGGAAGACAGAAGTGGAAGCCCAGGGCTCACCCCAGGAGGGGACACAAATGGGTGACCCTTCCATGATGTTGAGACCCCAAAAGGCTACACACTCAAGCTAAAAGCCAGAGGAAATCCCATCTTGCCTCGCACAAGACCTCAAGGAAGGTTATTTTGGTGCTGAGCAGAGCAGGGGAAGAAGGAAAACAGCCCTTAAGGAGCTCCAGCCTCGGGCCAGCCTTCATGTGACTCTAGCCCAAATTCATTCTCATCACCTGGGAAAGGCCAGAAAACTCAAGCTTAGATTGCTGGAAGTGCCCCTGTGCTTCAAAGACATCCCACCCGATGATTTCCCCCAGGGAAGAGAGCAGTTCACAGCCAAAAGCTGTGCTCTGGTCAGGCAAGTTCAGACTTCTCATCTGTAAAGGGGAGGCTTAGCCACATGCTCTCCAAGGTCTCCCCGGAATAGAGATTTGTAGGGGTGCAACCTGAGCGAGGCAGAAGTGTGTCCCCACTTGGTATTCTCGGGCCTCTGCAGAGTGAAGAGATGAGGCTGTGATGTGCTGGATAGGCCAGCCTGTCTTCTCCAACTGAACTGGAAGGACTCGGCAGGAAGCTGTCCCCAGTTCCCAACTCTGGGGGAGGGCAGAGGGGGAATGAAAGGGGAGTGGTGTCTGAGCCCAGACTGGCCTTTGATGTGTGCGTGGATAGGTGGGCAGGTGGGGCCTGTAATGGGGCTGCTGAGGGATCCCTGAGGGCATCCTCAGTGTTGACCTACTTGAGTCTCCCATAATTGCTTCCTTCCTTTCTTGGGAGGCTACAAATAGTGAGGCCCTGTCTCTAAGCTCCTACAGCTGAAACCAGCCAGCACCAGCGGTGAGTGCCAGCTGCTTGGGTCCTGCCCTGGGTTGAGTGTCAGGGCAGTTTGGGGGACCCCCAATAGCCAACCTGACTCCTGACCCAGGGTCTGGCATTGGAAGGAGAGAGATGACCACAGGTGGGCCTGACAGGGGGAGGGAAGTCAGATATAGTGGATGCAGAGGTTTCCTTGCACAGTGAGGGGCTATCGGGGAAGTTTGGACTGGGGGGTGTGTAGAGCTAAGGTCTGCCTTGGGGTGGGAGCACTGGGCTCAAGGTTCTGGTGTTCCCCTTGGTCAGGCCCCTCACTTGCTCCTTGCCTCCTTGCTTCACCTCTGAGGCTGCTCATTTCTCAGGATCATGGCCCTTTCCTCTCCTGGGAACCTGGACACCTTGCTCCAATCCTGGGGTGTTTACAATGAATGGAATCCTGGCAGTGCTTGACACCCCCCACTCTCCTTCCCCTATTTTCCTGCCAGCCTCGACCATGCCAGCCATTTGCTCCCAGCAGGGGCCCAGCAATGGGTAAATCTGCAGGGAGAGTGTTGGCCCTGGCTGTCCTGTGCTGCAGGACCGGGAGTGAGTCACTGGGGTAGCATGGAAAAAACTCGTGCCTTCCTGGCCGCCTTCGGGTTTTCCCAGGCTGGAGGCATCATCCCAGAAGGGCGGTGGAAGGGGAGAGTTGAAGTGAGGGGAGGTGAGCAATCCCAGGAAGGGCTTCCCCTCCAATAGAACAGGGTACCCCTATATAGAACCTTCCTGTTCAAAACCCCCAGGGGTCAGGAGGGTAACCTCACGGCAGGCGAGTCTCAGATTGGTAAACACCCGAACTGGTCAACTCTCAAGAGATCATCTGGTTCAGGCTCCTGACTAGGCCTGCGAGGTGGGATGACCCCACCTTACAGATTAGGCCCCGCCCCTGAGACCCAAAGAGACAAATGACTCACCAGGGTTGCACCGCTGCCTGCCGAGAGGGAGAGAGGATCCCACAAGTTTTTCTTTTGGATGCAGCTTCCTTGAGTTCAGGGCAGGAGGCAGGATGAGGGGAGTGGTGGTGAGGTGGTGGGGGTGCCTCTCAGACCTGCCCCTCCCTGCTAAGGCCTGGCTTCTCCAAGGGCCTGAGGGCAGAGAAGCACAGGGCCAGGGTCTCCTTGTGCAAGTTCCCGCGGGAGGGAGGCTTCTAGGGCATCTTATGGGCTGGGGCAGACTGGGACCGAGCCAGCCCTGGGTGTTGGGGATAAGAAGAGGTGGCAGAGAATCCGGGAGTGCTTAAGGAGCCCCGCAGTGGGGAGTGTGGGTGGTGGGGTGGGATGCTGTCTCTTTGAGGAGTTTGCGGTGATGTTGGGGCAATGAGACCTCCACACGGGGAAGTAACAACAGGACAGCAGGGGGATAAATTAGGAGGGGCTGGTGTGGTCCGGGAGGGCTGCTCAGAGGAGGGGGAGACTGCGGGGCCTGAAGCCTGATGGAGGTTAGGATGGGTCTGGGAACAGTCTCTGAGAAACACAGAGGGCAGAGGTGAGCAGGGGGTTGGCCTGGAACTGTGCTGTGAGTCACACCCTTGTTCTGTGACAGTGAGGATGGCCAGGCCTCTGGAGCAGGCGGTAGCTGCCATCGTGTGCACCTTCCAGGAATATGCAGGGCGCTGTGGGGACAAATACAAGCTCTGCCAGGCAGAGCTCAAGGAGCTGCTGCAAAACGAGTTGGCCACCTGGACCCCGGTGAGCAGTTGGAGTGTCTGTCCCCTCCTCGCCCAGTGGGAGGCACTGCCTAGACTCTGCCAAGAGAGACCTGGGGACAAGCATGAGCACAGGACAGCAAGGGGAGGGGGCTGGTTTGTGAGGAGGAAGTGGGAGGGGAGAACTGACATAGCAGAAACCTCAGCTTCCTCATCTATAAAATGGGATGACAATCATCACACCTGCTGCCTTGCAGGGTTGTTGAGCGAGAGCACCATGAAGAATGCCTAACACATAGTAGGCACTCAGTAGCAAATAGTAGGTGCTCGATTAATAATCTGAGAGGGCAGATTTGGGAGGGGATTGCAACGGGTGCATTATCAGAGCAGGGAGGTTGAAATTGGCCCTCGGAAGGGTGTAGTTTGGGGTAGGGTGGGTCCACTTGGGAGAGGAGGGAGGGAGGTGGCGTGTGAGGCTGTTCTGCCCTCCTCATCCTACTCCCCCACTCCTCCCCACCCTTCCCTTGCACAGACTGAGTTTCGGGAGTGTGACTACAACAAATTCATGAGTGTTCTGGACACCAACAAGGACTGCGAGGTGGACTTTGTGGAGTATGTGCGCTCACTTGCCTGCCTCTGTCTCTACTGCCACGAGTACTTCAAGGACTGCCCCTCAGATCCCCCCTGCTCCTAGTAGCCTCTGCTGCAGGGGGTGCGCCAGCTGTTGGGGGCTGGGCATGTCTCCCACACTCCCTCCTACCCTCTCTCCTGTACCCCTTTCAATCTGGACTTGCCCAGGTCTGCCGTGATCAGTTAACCCATTTTACCTAGGAGGCCCAGAGATGTGAGGGCTCCTTTCCCAGGATGCCCAGCAAGTGAGGGGTAGAGCCACTCTGGGCCCCAGCCTGCCTGCTGCACCCCTGCGGCCTCCCTTGTGGATGGGAGGAGGCGGGATCTGCTGTGAGGCCCTCGAGGCTCAGCAGAGCGTGCACCAATGAGACCACGATGGGAAAGGGCCCGTTTAACTCCTAATAAAAAACTGGCGTCAGCTTGGTTTTGTTTGATTCTTCTCTGAGGACGCGTCTGCTGAGTTCTTTGCTCCTTTCTGGCCTTTTCTACTGCAGGAAGGCAGCTGAGGGCAGGGGCAGGGGCAGGGGCTCCCCCAGGGAAGTTGCAGACCCTGCAGAAATGCAGTGGCCTCCAGGGTCCAGCAGGAGGGCGTGGGGCCAACACAGGGACCCCTGTCCTCCCTTCCTCTCTCTCTCTCTCTGGGGTCTTTGAGAGAGGACCGCCTGAGTTTCCCCTGGGACTCAGTGCTCACGGTTGGATGACCTGAGGAGGGTGGGGCTGTGGGCACAGTGGGGGTGTTTGTTCCCTGCCCCGGGCTGTGGGAGCCCAGAAAGCAGCACTAATGGGATTAGGGTGTCTGAGGTGTTTACTCCCACCCAGGAAGTTGTGCCCTGTGTGGAGGGGGAAGGGGATAACTTGAGGCAGCCCCTATCCCTGAAGCTGCAGTCCCCTGAGGGCCTTAACCCCCTACTTCTAACCCTCACTGAGTTTGTAGCCCACCCTGAGAGGTTGGCTCGAATTCTAACTCCCCTATTTCGTGCCATTTCACCTCTAACTCTCCACCCCAACCTGGATTCTTCATTCCTGACACTCATCCCAACTTGAAATGGCCCCTCCTGATACCCTCTCCAAACCTGAGATCTATCCGTGAGCCCCCACGTGTCACTGCCACTCCATACTCCATCACTACCTCACCCAGGACCTTTCCCACTGACGTTCCTGAAGGGGTCCCAGAGCCTCATTTGGGTGTGAACCTGTTCCCCTCCAGATCCCCCAGCCCCGGCCCTGAGCCTTACTTGGCATGGCAGACAGTACTGGGCATGGAGATCCCTGCCCCAGTTTTTGTTTTTGAGTCTTTATTTTTTTAAGAGACAAGGTCCGCTGTGTTGCTCAGGCTGGAGAGCAGTGGCTTGAGCATAGCCAACTGCAGTCTCGAACTCCTGGGCTCAAACGATCCTCCTGTTTCAGCTTCCTGACTAGCTGGGACTACAGGCTACAGCCACGCTGCCCGTCTAATTAAAAACAAATTTTGTTTTTCCTTTTTATAGAGACAGAGGTCTCACTATGTTGCCTAGGCTGGTCTTGAACTCCTGGCCTCAGGCGATCCTCCCATCCCCCTCCCTAGCTTTTGTGTCGCCACATTTCCAGGGCAATCTCCCATCTGTCACCCACCACCCCCTGCATCTTCTTTCCTAGCTCCCTGATGGAACTACTCCCTCCCTGTCCCCCATGCTCCAGGCACAGACTACCCCTTCCTCCACCTCTCTAAAACTCAGGCTGAGCTATGTACACTGGGTGGTGCCTATTGCATCCAGGTCCCTGCTGGTAACTGCTGGGGCTTACCCGTTACCCAAACAAGAGGCTTGGTTGCAAGGCTGGGCTGGTGGAGGGTGCTGTGGCACTTAACACATCAGCCCACAGCAGGAAGGCAGTATCCACTCTCCCCTGTCCCCTGCTATGGGCAGGGCCTGGCTGGAGTATAAATAGGTCAGACCGCTGGGCCGTCCCCATTCTTCCCCTCTCTACAACCCTCTCTCCTCAGCGCTTCTCTCTTGGTTTGGTGAGTTGTGTTGGCCTGACTGGCATGCAAGGGGTGTCAGAGGCCAGGGCTGGGGCAGGAGAAGGGGAAGCTGGTGGGGGCCAGATGTGCTAAAGAGATCCAGATGTGAGACTCTGATGTGGAACTCTGGGTAGAGTGGGTGCGTGGGTGTGCATGTGTGTGGGTGTGCATGTGTGTGGGTGTGCATGTGCACACACACACGTGCACGTAAGAGGGAGGAAAAAACCAACAGAAAAGCGAGCAAGTGGCTAGATTTGAGCTCTCCAGGTGCTTCCGAGATGTGGGCTTGCACATGCTGTTGCTATAGTATGTGTTGGTATGTATGTGCCCATGGGTATTTGCACTGGCTCATGTTTGCTGGGTTGTGCACTCAGGAGCAGGAAGCAAAGGAAAGGCAGAAGGCAACTGTGGGCGTTCGTCTGGTGGTGTGCCCCATGAGCCTCTGCCCTGCACGCAGCAGCCCAGCTCAAGAAGGAGCGTGGCCTCTGCACCTTCTCTTCCAACCCTTGCCTCTGCCATCTCACTTTGCCCCTCCCTACGCTGAGCACTAAGCAGCTGGTTTTTTCCGCTGCAGGCCCCTGGGCAGGCCTCCAGCAGCCGCACCCAGTGCTGGGAGGGAGAAGAATGGCCAGGGCGGGGCCTTTGTGGCTGAGCCGTGGGAGTGGATAGACTGAGCGAGGGATGGAAAAAATGCTGTTGTTGAGGCGAGGCCTGGGAGGCCCTGGGAGCTTGCTGCCTGAATCTCCAGAGCCTGCGCAGTGGGTTCTGCAAATGTTCACTGCCCAGAGCATGTGTTCCCCACTGTGCACACCCTTCCCGCCAAGTGCTGGGCCCACTGCTCTGGGCTCCCCCAGGGAGGGAGCAGAGTCTTGCCAAGTGCTCCTGGAGGGATGGGAGGGGAGCCTGGCATTCTGAACACATCTCTGAGGGGTGGGGTAAATAAGAGGGTCTCTGTGCCTCCTGCTCCCAGATCCTGACTGCTGTCATGGCGTGCCCTCTGGAGAAGGCCCTGGATGTGATGGTGTCCACCTTCCACAAGTACTCGGGCAAAGAGGGTGACAAGTTCAAGCTCAACAAATCAGAGCTAAAGGAGTTGCTGACCCGGGAGCTGCCCAGCTTCTTGGGGGTGAGTGGGTAGTGCTTGAGTGTGTCCCCACGTGGGGCATTTCCCACAGAGGAGGGCAGCAGTCTTGCTCTAGAGCATTAGCTACAGAGGGCATCTATCAGTGGGGTGACTGCCTGGGGTGGAAACACATTGAACACCACCGCTCACTGACTGGCCCCATATGCTGAAAGAGGGCTGAGAATGAATGTGTCAGACACTGCCAGATGCTTTGCACAACTTAACTGAAGGGAAGACTAAGCTCAGAGTGCTAAGTAACTTCCCAAGGTGGTCAGTGTACACAACTGCCATCTGGACCAGGACTGTCTGACTCTTGCCATCACGCCAACAGTGGACACTGTTTGAGTTTCTGTTTGGCTTGTAGATGTGAAGACACAGATGTGGAGGTGATCACAGGCCTGCAGACATTCCCCTCAAACAATAACAATGTATATTTGTATCAAACATAATACAATTTACATATTGCTTTCATGACTATTACTACCTCATGGGATTATTAGAGCAACCTTGGGTGAAAATGTAGGGTTCCGTCATTTTTCCATTGCACCAGGTACTCAGACTTCCTTATCCAAGGAGTACCTTCTCCATCCTAGCTTAGCCTTGAGGGTTGGAGTTCCAAACTGGACCTCCCAAAGGAGCCTCCCTGAACTCTGGTCTGGGAGTAGAAACTGGGTCTGGTCCTGGCTCCCCCTACTGGGCTTCTGTTTTCTATCTGTAGCCTCTTCTCCCTCCAGAAAAGGACAGATGAAGCTGCATTCCAGAAGCTGATGAGCAACTTGGACAGCAACAGGGACAACGAGGTGGACTTCCAAGAGTACTGTGTCTTCCTGTCCTGCATCGCCATGATGTGTAATGAATTCTTTGAAGGCTTCCCAGATAAGCAGCCCAGGAAGAAATGAAAGCTTCTCTGATGTGGTTGGGGGTTCTGCCAGCTGGGGCCTTCCCTGTCGCCAGTGGGCACAGTGCCCCACCCTGGCTCCTTCAGACATGTGCTTGATGCTGAGCAAGTTCAATAAAGATTCTTGGAAGTTTTGAGACTGATGGTTTGAGAGACTCTGGGGGCATGGGTTGGGGGCTGAGAGAGATGTTGTGGGGTGGTGGTGGGGAGAGCTGAAGTTTTATGGAGAGCAAGCCAGTGAAGTCAGGGGAGGGATGCAGGATGACTAAGAGTGTATGCACAGGCAATAAAGTTCACTCAATGAGGTCAAAGCTGAGAAGGGGACCCCATAACCACCCCCTTGCCAAGGTTTGGAAAGCTCCAGCTGTGGGATCTCAGCCAGCCCACTTACCCCTCCCACCTCTCTCCAACCTTGCCTCTGACAGGATCTTGAACCGAGGCTGGAATTGAAGGTCCCATCTGTTCCTGGCTGGGGTCTGGAATGGAGTTTGGGTGTCCTGGGAGGAAGTCAGAGGGAAAAGAATAAGGCTGAGCTGCAGGGAGGAAGTACTTAGGTGACCGTGGGATGGGGAGGAGGGCTGGCACTTAGTGCTGACATTTACAGTCCAGGCTCTGTCCTGCCACCCCCTTCCAGATCCCTGGCTTCAAACCACAGGGATGGATTAATCCTTTCCTGTCTGTGGTAGGATCAGGGAAGGCAATGTGGAGGGAGACCCGGCTGTTTGCAGCAGCATGAGAATACAGGCATTCTTGAATCCACCGTCTCTGCCACAAAGGTCCCTGGATGAAATCTGTTATCAGTCAGGAATCAAGCTCCTTCAGGGAAGGACAGGGAACCTCAGAAGAGATGAGTGGGGGTCAGTGGCTGGGGTGGGAGTGAGGCAAAGGGTGGGAAGGTGACCATAGTTTGGAGACAAAATTCCACATATGTGGAATTTTGATCTGATAAATGAAATTGAGATTATTTCCCCCCCACCCCAGAAAATATGAGGCATGATATTGCTTCTCCTTAAGTAGGTTCAAGGCCAGTGGTTCAAGGGTGCAGTGGTGGGCTGAGGTTAGACTTCAAGGCCCTGCCTGGGTGACACAGGGATCTTTAAGGAAGAAGTGTGTGGAGATCAGGCGCAGAGGCTGGAGGGCTTGGTCCCACTGACCTCCTCTTGCGGGTCCTTTTTCCTTTCATCACGTGGGGCTTTTCTCTCAGGTTTCAGAGGAGTGGGGCAGGTGACTCAGATGTTCCCTCAGGGTTTGACTGCAGAGACTTGGGAGGAATTTCAGTTCAGGAGAAAGTCTGCTGCCTTCCCCTGTCCTCTCCATCCACCCTCCCTGGGAGCACCCTCCCTGGGGCCTCCATCTGCATCACGCTCTCCTTCAGAGATGCCTGCTGCATAGCAACCAATCCCTGCTGCCTCTGCAACCTTGCCAGTTGGGGGTGGGGTGGAGTGGGGAGCAGTGGGGAGGTCTCCCAGGCTGGAGTGGGACTGTAGCAGTGACAGGCACTACACCCTGAGCCCAGGTCTGTTCTTGGACTGGTGGTAGAAGTACTGTGGTAGAACAATGTCTGAGTGTCTTCTGGGATACAGGGAACTTCCCTGGCCCCTACTCCCTCCTTGACTGCAACCTGAGCCCGAACCCCCCTCCCCAATCCACAACTTCTACCTCAGTGCTGGGCCTTAGCCCTTCGCTGGGTGCCTTCCCTATTCCTGATTCTCAGTCCTCCATGCCAAGAGCCTCCGACACGCCTTTCCTGTGAAAAGCAGTGAGGCCTAGAAGAAATCATTCATTTAAAAGCCCTTTAAAAACCTCTGGGTCCATATTAGCTCACGACCTTGACCATATCCTTCGCAGAAAATATCTTCCTCCACTGATCCCCATCTCAAGGGCTGTCTTCTCTGCTTCTGGAGTGGGTGGCAGGATGGGTGGGAGGGTCCTGATGCAGAGAGCTTCCTAGGACACGGGGAGATGGTGCCCTCTGTTTGGCCCACACCTCCGAAGTTTTCTTTCCAGGACAACCTGGTTTCCCTTCTTCGGCTTATTGTTCCATCAGATTTCAGATTGTGAGTTCTGATTTTTGGTCAGAAGAATAAAGTTTCTGGGATTGGGGACGTGTGTGCTATGGGAACTCAGTGTGTCCCCAGCCCTTGTTTGTAAACAACGAAGGTGAGATTGGCAGAAGGGGTTTCTCCCCAGCTCCATCCTGGGAGGCTCTGACGTGAGCATCCCCAAGTCCCCAGCCCCTTCCCATGGGCCCTTTCTTTCCCCTGGTTTCCTGGGGACAGAGAGCAGGGGAATAAAGTCAGAAGGCAGTGAGAGGGAGCTGTGTCTGCTGCCTGGATTCTCTGGGCTCACTCCCACAGTGGTAAGTCCTTCCTTCTTATGTCCCTGTTTGTCTGCTATCTGGTGGATCACACTGGATGGTGAGGGTGATGAGTGGTGGTGACCTCCACCAAGGAGGCCTGGCCCCACAAGCGGGCATGCACTCGGGGAGGAAACGGCAGAGCCTTTGGAACTTCTTGAGAAATGGCTCTGGGGTGGAGGTGGGGGTCCGGACTAGTCAGGATGCTCCTGCAGGTGCACAGAGGCCCTTGCCTTCAACTGCGGCCCCAGTTGAGTCTCCTTGAGGTGGGAGAGGCTGAGGTTTTGGGTGGTGGGAGAGGAATGATGGGTCTGGTTTAAGAATGGCAGAGAGGGCTTTGGGCTGGAGGTGAGGACAGGATTAACCTGCAGTCCTCAAGTTCTGTGGGTGTTGCCTCCTTCCTCCCTGAGGGGGAAGTGGTTTTTAGTCTGAGTCACTTGAGCTCCATCCGTCTCTTCCCTTGGCTGGGGGTGGCTGAGCCATTGGAATCCAGGCCTTTATTCAAGCGTAGCCTCTGGATCCAGGTTTTGGAATGATCCTGGAGATTTCAAGAGGCCCCCTGCTCTCCCTGCCTGCCGGCCTGTCTGTGTGTGCACTGCTCTGGGCCAGAGTCTGGAGACCAGTTGGGCCAGCTCAGCCACCTCCCTGCTGCTCCTTGTTGAGCCCTCATCTCCTAGTTCCAGCCCAGCCCCCTCTCAGCCCTGGACTCTCTCTTTGCCCTGTCCCCCACTTTAATAATGGGACACTCCTCAATATCAGGTGATTCAGGCACTGGGGGAAAGGCTGGTGACTAAGGTGGGAACTGTCTGTGGAAAACCAGTTCCTAGGCTGGAAGGGGCAGAGAGAAAATCGTGACCCTTGATCTGCTCCAGCATCTGCCACCAGGCTTTTTGAGGAGGTCGTCTTGTCATCTTTCTGCCCCAGGCCTCCTTTTCAACAACTCCCAAGCAGGAGAGTCTGCGGTCTGCTTTGGGGGCTGGCCGTTCTCCTTGTACCAGCTGCTCCAGGGTTTGCTGTGGGTCTCACTGTAACCTGTGCTGATACAGATGGGTGCTCTTGGTAGTGGATTTCAGTCTCATCTTGGGTTCCAGTCTCTTGTCTTTGAGGGAGGGGCCTCAGAGGTAGGCTAGTGCTGCTGGTGGTGACTTCCTGAGGAATGGGATCTTCCCTGCTCCCTCTGCAGAGCTGCACACTGTGATGGAGACCCCTCTGGAGAAGGCCCTGACCACTATGGTGACCACGTTTCACAAATATTCGGGGAGAGAGGGTAGCAAACTGACCCTGAGTAGGAAGGAACTCAAGGAGCTGATCAAGAAAGAGCTGTGTCTTGGGGAGGTAGGTGATTGTTCCCTCATCCTCCACCCCAAAGTCTGAATACTCCCTCTGGGGGACACATACCTACTCCCAGGATCCTCCAGCCTAAGCCAGGGGCAGGGTGGCCAAGGGCTACAGACAGAGACAAAGGAAGACGGTGGGGATTTGGGGCCAGCAAAACTCTAGCCCTCTGTGAAGGAGGATGCGTCAGGGTCTCACTGAGAAGGAGGAAGGGCTGAGTCTGGAGGGTTTAGAGAAGGAGATTGAGCCTTCGATGGTGCGGCTAGGCTTTTGCAGCAGTGGCAGAACCTGTGCTAGGGGTCATGGGTGGTGAAGGGATGCAGGGTGTCCAGGTCCAGCTGTGTACAACCCAAGGGTAGGGACCCCGCCTGATTCTTCTCTGTGTGCACAGCATGGCCAGGGCTCTCCAATGATGCTGGCTCTCCAACTGAAACTATGTTTACAAGTTACCCTATGTTAACTCGTAAACATAGGGTAGCCAGGAGACAGAACTGGTTCTCACCAGATGGAGGTGGCATGAGGGAGGTGACTGACAGAGGGGAAGGCCCAGGAGGTTATTATAATACAATATCCCTGAGGATAAATATATATATATATATAAATATAAATATATATACATATACATATATATATTTATTTATTTTTTTGAGACGGAGTCTTGCTCTGTCGCCCAGGCTGGAGTGCAGTGGCATGGTCCTGGCTCACTGTGACCTCTGCCTCCTAGGTTCAGGTGATTCTCCTGCCTCAGCCTATTGAGTAACTGGGATTACAGGCACGCACCATCATGACCGGCTAATTTTTGTATTTTTAGTAGAGATGGGGTTTCACCATATTGGTCAGGCTGGTCTTGAACATCTGACCTCGTGATCCATCCGCCTCGGCCTCCCAAAGTGTTGTGAGCCACTGCGCCTGGCCAAGGATAAATAAGACTCTGTCACCCAGGTTAGAGTGCAGTGGTGTGCTCATGGCTCACTGTAGCCTTGAACTTTCAGGCTCAAGCGATTCTCTCACCTCAGCCTCCTGAGAAGCTAGGACTACAAGCGAGTACCACCACGATTAGATAATTTTAAAAATTTTTTGTAGAGATGGGGTCTCACTATTTTACCCAGGCTGTTCTCGAACTCCTGGTCTCTAATAATCCTATCGCCTCGTCCTCCCAAAGTGCTGAAATTACAAGCATGAGCCACTGTGCCTAGTCTTATTATTTTTACAGTTAAAAAAATCAATGCTCAAATGCATCAAATAACTTGCCTAAGGGGGCTGAACTGGAGTTCTGGGCCAGGCCGGTGAATTATCCTCCCTGTTTCCTTTAAAATTTGGCCTGGGTGCCTCTCCATCTATTACACCTTGAGCCCTGGTAGGCCCTCCCAGAAAGAAGGTCCACAGTGTGCCACATGGGCAGGGGACCAAAGCAGGTGTGGGCGTCCCCAGGCCTGATCTCTAGCTTCCGCCATGTTCCCTGCATCCTGGAGTTAATGAGGGCAAAGGGAGAGGCCACGGGTACAGTAGGGGTTAATTACAGAAGGAGAAACGCCCATGGGAGGGCCTGGCAATAACAGGAGCCCAGGCTGGGGACTAGGATCATATCACAGACAAGCAGTTTCCGCCTCCATAAGTCCCAATGTCTCCTGTGAAAACCTGTAGCTGATGGCAATGATGAGGAGACATCAGGATCTGCTTGTCTATATTTTCTTCCTGTTCCACCCAAAGGACCCTGACTCCATCGTCGTAGTGGAGCCAGGCTGGGACATCAGAGGACCAGACAAGAGTGCACAACTGGGCTCCAGGCAGGCCTCTTGCACAGCTCTCCTAGCAGCAGAGGGATGCAGTGGCTTCACAGCCCCGGTGCACTGCTCTCATTGAGAGACATTTTGTCTGGGCTTATTCTCACCTAGTCCTTAGAACGGGGAGAGAGTCACTCAGAGACTTGGATAACGCCCAGTGCCACATAATCAGCAAGGTTTTTTTTTGAGAAGGAGTTTCATTCTTGTTGTCCAGGCTGGAGTGCAATGCGCATGATCTTGCTCAATGCAACCTCTGTCTCTCAAGTTCAAGCGATTCTCCTGCCTCAGCCTTCCAAGTAGCTGGGATTACAGGGATGCACAATCATGCCCTGCTAATTCTGTATTTTCAGTAGAGATGGGGTTTCACCGTGTTGGTCAGGCTGGTCTTGAACTCCTGATGTCAGGTGATCTACCCGCCTCGGCCTCCCAAAGTGCTAGGATTACAGGTGTGAGCCACCGCGCCTGACCCAGCAAGCTGTTTTTATCAGGTGTTAGTATAAAACCCAGATGATTGTTTATTTGGCTGGGGGACGGTGTTGCAGGGAAGGCAGGATAGGCTAGCATTCCTGCTGTCATTTATTTCCATTCAGGAGTCAGGTCCCTGACCCCCTACTTCATGCCAGGCCCTTGCCTAGGTGTGGGCAGCAGGCAGACTCTGGGGGTCGAGATGCTGACAGTGTCACTGACTCAGCTGGGGCTCACACTGAGGTTTCAGGGTGGGTATGACACCATGCAGTGGTGCGAGGGCAGGGCTGGGAGTGGGGTCTGAGTTGTCCCTCCACCTGGGTCTGTGAAGATGAAGGACAACAGCATCGATGACTTGATGAAGAGCCTGGACAAGAATAGTGACCAGGAGATCGACTTCAAGGAGTACTCGGTGTTCCTGACCACGCTGTGCATGGCCTACAACGACTTCTTCCTAGAGGACAAGAAGTGACCCGGGCTGCCCTCCGCCCTTACCCTCCACCCCTTGCTGCTGACCTTGGCTGCTCCTCTCATGGACCCTCTTTGGCCCCCTGCCCTCCTCTCCCTCCCAGATGGACCCTTCCATGGGAGGAAATAAAGTTTCCATTGCAGGTGCTGGGAGTCTGGTTTTGAAGCTGTCTTGTCTACCTTGGCCTGGGGAGAGGGGAGCACAGGAGGGGTCTCTCCTTGAGTGGGTTGAGACAGCCTCTGCCTCTGAGGTTTAGGGTCCTGGGGTTTCACTGCATTCTTCTCCTTCTTTGGTGTGGATGTCTCATTGGTCTTGTCGTGGCTTAGTTTTGCCTGCCTGGAAAACGGGAAGTCAGGCCAGGCGGGAACTCTGCAAGGATGCAGAGGAAGCTAAGAGGGAAAGTTGCTTTGAGAGGAGGACACTGGGAGGGGTTGGGAGTGGCAGGCAGGCCTGACTTGTCCATAGCTCACCGGAGGCCACCTTGGCAGCACCTTTAGGAAGGGCAAGTCTGGCCTCCACACCAGCTCCCTCCCTCTTCTCCATTTCCCCTTCAACAGCACCCCTCTCATCATCTCTGGGGGCCAATGCTTTCTTCTTTCCCTACCTCCTCCATCGAAATCTTTTCACAGGGGAGGGTCTGAAATAACAAATGGTGCTTACAGAGCTGGGTTCCCGCCTGCATGCACACTAACACGAAAGGTGCTGTAGTGAATGGAATTTGGGGCAGTGAGGGGAAGGCGTGGAGATGTGGTAGGAACTTGTTGCTGGTGGGGGATGGGTGCCATAGATATCCTTTAGACCACAGGCTACTTCCCCTATCTCCTTTGGGGTGACCCTGAGTATTCTCTGCGGAACACCGGAATCCTGTGAGGCGCCCTCCTTGCCCACATTGACGCTGCGCTGGCTCGAGGGTCACATTCACGGTCTGGCAGAGGGAGCAGGGGTGACCGCCGCCGTCCGTCTCCTGCTCCCCTTGCCGAGTCACGTGTCACGAAGAGCAAACTGAGCAAAGTGAGCTGCGCAGATGAGGGGAGACTCGTCGTCACCGGGCGTGCAGTGGCATCTGCTGGGCTCCCCCATCCCGTCCTAACCCGGAATAGCCCCGGGCAGGAGGCGTGGAAAGTCGAGGGGAGAAACCGCGAATGTGTGTTGTGTAAGCCAAGGCGCAGGGTGGGGCGCGGGCGGGACTTGGGCGGGTGGGGTGGGCTTGGCCGAGCCGGCCTCCGGGGCATCGACCGCTATAAGGCCAGCCGGACTGCGACACAGCCCATCCCCTCGACCGCTCCCGTCGCACTTGGCCGCCTCCCTACCGGTGAGTTCTCGCCAGGAGCCCTGGGTACTTCCCAGGGCCAGCCGTCCTCACGCTGGGGCTCCAGCCATCCCCTGCCCCGTCCAGCTGCTGGATCCAGGCTGGGGCCGTCTGTGGCGCTCCCCCGCTGGAGGGATAGTCAGAAGCAGTAGTGCTGTGCCAGGCAGGCCTTGGGCTAAGGTATCCCAATGGGGTGTGCTCTTTTGGGGTGCGGAAGGGAGTGCCCTGGGTGTGTCATTGCCACCACGTGTGGCCCTGTGAGGCTGTGCTTAAGCTGCCTGTGCAGCCTCTATCCCCTTCCCCTGCCCAGCCATACTCCCTAACTTCTGGATCCCCTGAAGGACAGTTCTCAGCTGTGCCCAAAGCTACTGTTCCTATATGCTTCTTAGAATCCTTAAGCCACCTCTCTTGCCTTGACCCTAATCTTCTCTCTCCTTCCCCTTCAAGTCCTGGGCTGTCTCCTGATGCCATTGTGTGTGGCCTGAGACTGGGTGGTTCCAGAGGGGTCGGGGCTAGTGCAGGCAGCATTATTGGGTGGTGTGGGTGAGAAGTCCTTGCTCCCATGGCACTGACAAGGCCCTCTGCTGCCAGCTCCAAGTCCAGCCCTCAGCCATGGCATGCCCCCTGGATCAGGCCATCGGCCTCCTTGTGGCCATCTTCCACAAGTACTCCGGCAGGGAGGGTGACAAGCACACCCTGAGCAAGAAGGAGCTGAAGGAGCTGATCCAGAAGGAGCTCACCATTGGCTCGGTGAGTGGCCTCCTCTGCAGGACCCCTTTTCCCACCCTTGTCCTTTGGAAGCAGGATTAGGGGAGGGAGAGGTGCCAGGTGCATCTGACTCACATTTACCCACATTCTGAGGCCCTGGTCCACATGTTTTACTGAGCTGTAGACCCACTCTCCCAGAGGGTAGGGGATGCTCCCAGCCTGATATCCATTGCTCCAAATGAGGGCCAGTAACTGAGGAGTAGCTGAGGAGAAGTAATGCCAAAGTGAAACTCAAGGTGGACATAGGTCCTTGGTGATGAGGGAGCACAGATCCACTTGCAGAGATGGCTGCCTGGGAGGGGGAAGCGGAAGAATCCAAGATTGTCATCACCACTGAGTCTGGATTTCACATTCTAACACGTTAGAAGCTGCAGGATGCTGAAATTGCAAGGCTGATGGAAGACTTGGACCGGAACAAGGACCAGGAGGTGAACTTCCAGGAGTATGTCACCTTCCTGGGGGCCTTGGCTTTGATCTACAATGAAGCCCTCAAGGGCTGAAAATAAATAGGGAAGATGGAGTCACCCTCTGGGGGTCCTCTCTGAGTCAAATCGAGTGGTGGGTAATTGTATAATAAATTTTTTTTTGGTCAAATTTACCCTTGTGTCCTGGTTTCCGAATTATTTCTGTTCCTCCTTGACTTAGTGGGGCACCAGCCATCGGAAGATTTGCTCATAGTCAGCCTCTGAAAATGACTCATTGACTCGCCAGGCCAGGGGACCCACCCTGACAAGGCTCCCTCTAGCACATAAGGTGCCTTTATGTGAATGAGGAGAGATGCCTCTCTTGGCAATGCCATCCTAAGGAAAGCCTCAAGTGGTTTCCAGTAGAGAATGTCCTGGGATGAGCTTGGAGATGGAAATGGTCCCTGGGCTGGGATGTGATGGGGTTTGGGGGCCTGGAAGTGGGGCAGAGATAGTCCCAGAGGCTCCCAGATGAGTTTTGCTCTGGGTGTGGCAAGAAGGGCCCTGGGGTGGGGCAAGTCCCCTTTCTCACCACAGTGCAGGGGGCAGATAGGACACATCTGAGATGCCTGAGGCTTGGCTGGGGGAGTTTCCTAGACCAGTGAGGACGCTGTGTGACTGAGTCTACTGCGGCTGTGCAGGTCCCAGGTGGAGTTGGGGAGGCACACTCTAGGAGTGTGTCCCTGCATTCAGGGATGAGGGCCTTTTTGTTGGAATGGTGGTCTGAGGAGCTGGCAGCTGCACCAACACGTGAACCAGGGGTGCTCAGTAATGGGGCGGGGTGTCTCTGCAGCCTCAGCATAATGACTCATTCGGCACTTCCACGGGATCCCAGCCTGGATCTCAGCCCCATCAGAGAAGATGACTAATTGAATTATTGTCCATCGTCTGCATTAGTGTTTTCAGGCAGGAGGGAAGAGGGTAAGGAGGGTAAATGCTGTTTCCGGATGATGCCACATCATTCAGCCTCTCTAGGCCTAGTCCGAGCTGGGCAAGTCCACCTCTAGCTCCTGGGGAAGAGATCTTGACTTTAGATGGAGACCACATCCTTCCGTCCCTCTCACCTCCCCCACTTCCCTTGGGGGTCCAACTTTGTGGAATTAAGTTGTCTTCTGAATCCACTGGGTGGGGATTGGTAAACAGCTGGGAGCCGCACCTTCTTGGAGCCCCTCCTTCTCTATTGCCTCCCCTGTCCTGCAGGGAGAAGTCGCGCTGTTGGCTGCAAGAGACCGGGGACTGAATTCCCTCTCTGCACAGCCGTGCCCAAGCCTTGGCTCTATTCAGCTCCCTCTGGAAAAGTACGCACTCCCCAACCCCTCCCGCGCCCCGCTAGGTTCCCGCCCTACGCCCCTTTCCTCCCCCTTTCTTCTAGTTCCTCGCCGACTGTCTTCCAGTGGCGGACAACTTGGGGCTCGGAGCGAGCGCCCTCCTGTGAGCAGAGAGCAGCACGCAGCGGGGACAGTCGGGTTGGTTTTCTTGAGCCTCTGGCAGGGGCCTGCCGTGGGTCTGTGGCCTGGTAGTCACCGAGTCCTTAGGAAGAGGAAGACAGAATAGGGCGCCCCGGGAACGTCAGGGTAGGTGATCCTTTGGTTCCCGGCAATCAGCCCTAGAATTAAGCAACTTAGCTTCACAATCGACACAGCTACCACAAGTAAGTCCATGAGGGAAAGGCGGTCCCTTTGTAAAGACAGATGGAATCTGAACCTGAACCCTTCGCCTCCCTTCCCCCACCTGCAACTCTTCTGCAAGGCTGGAAGACCTTCGTACAAATAAATGCTGCCTGCGGAGAGGGAAGAGGAAGCCCGCTGCTGCGGGGAGGGGATGCTCAGGCAAGGCAGTCCGCCGGGCGTTCCTGGGGAGCTCTGGTGGGTGGGCAGGCCACCGGTGCAGGGGAATCAACACAGGTGCACGGTCCACCTGCTAAGTAAACAGGCGTGTCCTTTCGTTTCTGCTTCTCCACAGTGGTGGAGGGGAACGGGAACATGGATTTCAAGAATAAGACAAAAAACAAAACAAACAGCAAATCTTTAGGGGTATAATTTTTAAGTTTTTTTTTTTTTTGGCAGGGGAGGGGAGGGAAGCAGTATTTACAATGGAATATGGTAGGTGCAGCAGTCAAATGGTGGAATTGGGTGTGGAGAGGTGCACAGACTGGACATTTTATTGCTCCAACCAACTTAAAGTTGTAATTGAATCCTTTTAGCTCACTGTTGAGTATGGTGTGGGCTTATAGGATGGGGAAAAGTTAGGATGTGAGCTGAGGGCTTCGTGAGAGGTCACTTTACTTTTCTGAAGGTTGAGCAGTGGGAGTGGCTCTACATCTCTCCACTTCCTTCAGCTGAGGTCAGCCCATTACTGACATTAATCCTACAATCTAACCACCCTAACGCCGGTGAAGCTGCAACAGCAGCACCACAGACCATCTCTGTAAGCTGGGGCGGGCCCCAGGTAAGGGGGTTTAGGACTGAGTTACAGGAAGTGGCTCTCTGTTTTTTGCCAAGCAAATAGGAAATTGTCAAGAATAATGCCACCATCTTTGTATAAGACCACACTTGTATAGCAACTTCGTTTTCATGAGGTGCCTGTCATAGCCATTGCGTCTGGTCATCTT